CACAAACAAAAATACCTGACAACTTAATTTTACTGGTCGATGTCCTCTCAGATAGAAAATAGGCGTTAGAAAAAAAAAAGAAGCGACGAGAATTTATCCTCTTGCCCTGTTTTCTTTAAAAATCATGACGTGAATCAAACGTTAGTTAATAACGGTTTCCGAACAATCTTATAGATAACCATATTAAACTTTTCTTTCTAAGTTAACCTATAGCAACACGGAATATAGAGAAAAATTATAACATTAACATTTTTTATAAAAATCAAATGCATGGTTGCAATAAGCAACATGAATCTTCCTTTAGAAACATTATAAAGGAAAATACAACTCCAGTCGACAAAAACAAGTAAATTAAATTAATTATCTACTATAAAGATATGAAAACTGATAACCTCAAACAATAATAACTCACTAGGAAGATCAGAATTACAGAGAACCATTATTAGATTTCTTAAATACACATAGAGACCTACCAAACTCTATCCGTAATGTACCCGTTGATAATAAAGATATAATAGCCTCATCTAAATGTACGAAAAGGTTAAAAATAATGGAAGCATTATTAATTAATTAAAAAATAAAAAAAAACAGTCAATAATATCAATATGAACACGGACACAATGTGCTAACCGTGTTTGTAAAAAAGACATTCTTAGAACAATAGATACATACATAAAGCCAATCATACATTTAGTTAAAAGTAAAAATAAAATTCATCCTTGATAATGGTTAAAAGTATAGCCGAAAGCCCTCAGACATACAAAACATTTGTACAATTTCTACATAATTTACTAAGACAAATATAAGAACACATAAAAAGTTAAATAAAAAATGAAACCAAAATACCTTAATGAAACTTGTATAAAAGAGGGATTGCTGCTTAAATACAAATTACACAAAAACATACATATATATATATATATATATATATATATATATATATATATATATATATATATATACTGACGTTATTTTTCAGTTAAAATATGAAAATAGCGTTTCTCTACATTCCAGTACATTCTGTTTTTGTTTTTATTAGTTACTTTATTCAATTAATTTCATTTTCGTATTTTGCTTTGATAAAGTCCACATTGGACGAAACGCGTCAGCAATTACCAGTTTTCCTATTGTCATTTTTATTCATATATATATATATCTGATATTGAGCGCTTTCTAATAAGTACCGCGCATATAATATATAAATAATTATACATATATATATATTTATTTATATTTATATTATTTTTTTCATATATATATATATATATATATATATATATATATATATATATACGATGGGTAAATTGTCGCAATTTTATATTTTTCATTTAGCGCATGCACGTTGTTTGTTTTTATTTTGTCGACTGCACAGTATATTAGGGTATTGGGGCATCGGATGTGAGAAAAAGTGCAACATGAGGCAAGTGACTCCCCTAAATGCCATACAAGCAGAACCGGATTATGCAATTCTGCAACCACATAACCCCTTACATCTCATCACCTAAGTCCAGAGACTGCAATCCTATTTATTATGTGTGGGCCGCAGTTGAACGTGAGACCAAAACAATTCCTTCTAACACCAAAGATTAACTAAAGGCAAAGATTATGACAGGATTCACCATCTTAATCAAGGAGACCGCCCAGAAGAGTTGCAAAAGATTCTGAAATTGTGTGGAGGGTGTGGTTGAAGCCAATCACAATTTTATTGGATAAATTTTTCTCTTTTGTATATCAATTCATTTTATGTGTAATTTTGGTAAATATATCTGTTACAATGAGATGTCAGTGTTATTTTCATTTTGCCTAACTTAGCTGACAATTTATCCATCGCATCCTATATATATATATATATATATATATATATATATATATATATATATATATATATATATATATATATATGGCTGAGGCTTGATTCGCTTAATTAAGAATGTTAAGCGTATAGTTTCCATGTCCAAAATATCCGATCCTCGTATTTATCGATGAATGATGATTTTCTTTTCTGTTTAATCATTATTTTATTAAAAAGACATGCCTGTCTATGTTCACAAGACAGGAAAATACTTGTCGACATCACCAATATACTCTACCACGGAATAAATATGTATGTGTGTGTCCATATATATATATATATATATATATATATATATATATATATATATATATATATATTCTCCAACGGATTAAATAATATTTATGTTGGTCATACCACAAACTCGCTTTCACAACGCTTGACACTACATTTGAATGATAACTGTAACATTTTTAGGCATTTAAAACAAGATATCTGGCCGCATACTCAATTCAGGAAAATCGTCATCGAAAACACAACTATACTTAAACATGAAAACAATAGACAAAAACTAAAAATTCTTGCTATATGCATAAACACAGTTAAAACCTAACCTGCAGAAAATAAACTATGAAATCTCCAAAATATTCTTAAATGCCTATAATTCTTGATAACAGAAGCCATTGTTTTATACCAACGGCTTCCCATACTTAATACTTCTCGTTTTCTCTCTCGCGTGGTAATGTGTGATATCAGGATCTTCGGTGCTATTTTCGTTTCCAGCGTCACATATACACGAGTGTGTAGTTGCTTGGAAATCTTCAATGTAAACAAGAACAGACTATCATTATTGTTTTGTCCGTGTATTGTTTAATATATTGTAATGTAATTGTCATCTTTGACAATGGCTTATGTAAGCTGAAAGCTGAGATTGGATTAAAAAAATGTATCAATATTGTGAATTTCTTTCTTCTTTTGATGATAATATTATTACACTTATCAGGCAACATGAAAGGAATTTACATAAAATAAATAGATAATACTTAGCTATATTATTTAATGAAACATGCATCAATGAAAAATGCTGCCTCAATACATGAAAAATATATATATATATATATATATATATATATATATATATATATATATATATATATATATATATATATATATATTCTCAAATTCGCATTCATGCGCATTCCTTGACCAAAGTCAGATTGGCAGGTGTTAAATTTTACCGCAGTATGCAAATAATCTTTACACGGAGTAACATGTTAATCCATGACGATTATATTAAATCAATAAATCATTATACAAGTTTAGAAGGAATAGCTAATCTACGTAAGACAGGTAGCGCCATCCTTTAAATTCCGACGATGGATGAGTCAACGACTGCATTTAATCTTATAATATTCCTAAGTCTTGTCCATCTAATTATCACACTTGACTTATTATATAAACATTAAAAAGCAGAAGATACTTCAAAAACATTGAAAAACTTCAAAAACATTTCTGCGATTTTTCTCGTAATGTGGGAATTACGGCACGAGGAAGAGAAAACATTTATACCGCGTCAACGATATATCAGTCTGTATCTATCTATCTATCTATCTATCTATCTATCTATCTATCTATCTATCTCAGTATATTCCTATCTGTCTACTATGTATCTATCTATCTCAGCATGTTACTATTTATCTCCATCTGTTCCTATATATCTGTATATCTATCTCAGTACATTATCTATCTCAGCCTGTTCCTATCTATCTATCTATCTATCTATCTATCTATCTATCTATCTATCTAAATATATTCCTTTCTTTCTTAATCTGTTCCTATATATTTGTCTATCTATGTGGCTATCTCGGTATATTCCTATCTATCTATCTATCTAATGTAATTGCGATAAAATCGTGTCTGTAGTGATTTAAAAAAAATATTCGTGAACGTGCTTCGTTATAATTGTACACTATTTACATTATTATTGAAGAAGGTCGGAGCGTACAACGACCGTAGCGTTGCGATAAATAGGGCGAAAAAGATGAGGACATTAGTCCGAATAATGTAAATAGTGTACATAATATCTCATCTCAGAAATATAGACAGATACTGAAGGGACGAAACTTTGTGATAAACATGGCGAAAAAGATGAGGACAATAGTCCGAATAATGTAAATAGTCCGAATAATGTAAATAGTGTTCCAAATACCTCATTTTAGAAATATAGACAGATACTGAAGGGACGAAACTTTGTGATAAATAGGGAGAAAAAGATGAGGACAATAGTCCGAATTATGTAAATAGTGTTCATAATAACTCATCTCAAAAATATAGCCAGATACTCAAGGGCCGAAACGTTGTGATAAATAGGGCCAAACAGATGAGGATATTAGTCCGAATAATATAAATAGTGTACATAATACTTCAACTCAGAAATATAGACAGATACTGAAGGGCCCAACGTTTGTGATAAACATGACGACAAAATGTGGACAATAGTCTGAATATTGTAACTAGTGTACATAATACATCATCTCTGAAATATAGACAGATACACTTATAATTATTTTAAAATTTAAATGTGTCCGTTGTAACTATGGAAGCTTTGCAAATCAAGTGACCCAATATAAAGAAGCGGAGCGGAAACTGACAGAATTGCAAAATGGCGTTTCTTATACGCATTTCAACACGTTGCTGTTACACTCGTAATAAATTTTGTTGAGAGTTGATTGTTTGATTTTGATAGGGAGAGCCTTGAGAATATAAAGTTTCTGTTTATTATTTCCGTGGTGGAGTATATTAGTGATGTCGACAAGTATTTTCCTGTCTTGTGAACGTAGGCAGGAATGTCTTTTTAATTAAATAATGCTCAAACAGAAAAACAAAAATCACCATTCATCGATAAATACGAGGATCGGATATTTTGGACATGGAAATTATACGCTTAACATTCTTGATTAAGCGAATCAAGCCTCAGCCATGAATCCGTAGGTATTTGGCACTTAGTGAGGATTAAATTGACGGTTAATGGCCTGAAAATATAAGAAAATATAGATATCATTTTCCTTGATTAGTGTACCCCCACATTACTGACACATGTGGTACAATATGTGAGAATCGAACTGACACACCGGTAACGGTCTGAAAGGAGATATGACCAACTATTATGACCCAAGGAGTCATTCTCGCGAACTAGTTAGTCAGGTCCTTAAGCAGGCAGATAGATAGATAGATAGAGATAGATAGATAGATAGATAGATAGATAGATAGGAATATACCGATAGCCACATAGATAGACAGATATATAGGAACAGATTAAGAAAGAAAGGAACATATTGAGATAGATAGATAGATAGATAGATAGATAGATAGATAGATAGATAGATAGATAGATAGATAGATAGGAACAGGCTGGGATAGATAATGTACTGAGATAGATATACAGATATAAAGGAACAGGTGGAGATAAATAGTAACATGCTGAGATAGATAGATACATAGTAGATAGATAGGAATATACTGAGATAGATAGATAGATAGATAGATAGATAGATAGATAGATAGATAGATAGATAGATCTATACACTATTGCCTCAACTGTCGATTAGTTATCCTACGGCTATTATAAGCGTACGAAAATAATAACGCTGCACAAACACAACGGCAAACCTTACCAGTGAACAAATCAAAATACAATAAACTGGACTGGAAACTCTCCTGATTTAAACTCAATCGAGAATCTGTGGTCAATCTGCAAGGAACCACTTCGAGGAATGGATGAAGTACTAACATGTGCAGTGGGTCATGTTTCACTGAAAAAATACGAAAAAAACGTAAATAACAGAATTATTCGTTTTGTTTCAATTAATTAGCAAAGGGGGTATACACATATGTGCGCAAAAATGCACACACACACACACACACACACACACACACACACACACACATATATATATATATATATATATGCAAATACATGAAAAATAGTGCTCAATGTAAATTTACAGACCGTTAATATTATAAATTAACTGATTTAAAATATGTTTCATTTTTCGCTACACAGTTCTAACCATGTTTCAAAAATGAAAACTAAAAGCTTCGAAATTAATTTTGTAATTAAATTAAAGACATTAGTTCCATTTCATTCTCAAGCAAATTTTGGAGTAACTTTTAAAATTACTGGGTTTTTAAAGGTTTGGATTTGTTCCTGCGCTTTTAAAACCCATGGTTCAGAACTGTACTGAAAAAACATCTTTTAAATCAATTATATATATATATATATATATATATATATATATATATATATATATATATATATTTGGTTGGATAGATGTGAGTTTGTGACCCTGGGTTTCACGCTTTAGCGATCGTCAGACAAGAAACCCAGGGTCACAAACTCACATCTATCAACCAAATATATATATATATATATATATATATATATATATATAAAAGAGAGAGAGAAAAAAAGATACAAAAATAAAATATGCATTAGGATGATTAAGAAATTAACAAATGATACATTATATGTGTGTGTTCGCGCGCGTGTCTGCGTGTGCGTGTTATACAATCTTTATAATAAAAAGATTATGAATATAAAATAATAAATATATTTAATATATATATATACATATAAATGCATATAAATATAGATACACATACACACACATACACACACATGCAAACGCACACAGATATATATATATATATATATATATATATATATATATATATATATATATATATATATATATATATATACGTGTGTGTGTGTGTGTGTGGTGGGGATTACTTCGGTGATGTCTGGGGTGTATGGTAAGGTGGTGCATTGCGTATTTCTTTTCACGATTCCATTTGGTTCCACCCACATACATCTCCATCTGATCTGGACTAGAAAGCGCTCGTTGCCACTCAATGTACTTATGTTCAATACATATGAGCGGAAATTCACACAGACGCAAATTCATTTTCGCTTCTTAGTTTAAGGAATTTTTAAAGCAAATTCGCATCTGTTCGTACAATGATGACTTTGACAAGATAAAATAACATTCCTTTTGATAGACAGGTTCTAATAGTCAATTTGTAATGTATATACAAATGGAACTCTCTCTCTCTCTCTCTTTCTCTCTTTTCTTTAATGTCTGTCGCAGTTATGATTGTGAAAAAATCAAAATCTGCATGTGAATAGTTGTCGATACATTTTATTTAAATGGAAACCTTCGTAATTTCAATAAAAAAAGTTTTAAAAACATTTAAATTCGAGGTTGAAAGATGACATGTATTAAATTAATGAGAAGACATAGAGTCGTGAAAAGCAAAAAGCCGTCTTCCTCTTGTGTTTTTCTTTTAATATTTTAATGGGATGAATTATAAATATACCACCAGTGATTTGTCGTATTACATGCTACATTCAGTCAAAAAAGAGACTTGAATATATCAAAACCCACGATTCAATATTAGTAGTGCCTACGTGGCCTTTTTCCACCTGAGCAAGGCAATAAAGCCACCAAGACGCAAGTGGTTTCTAAGTATTAGTCGGATCTATTACATTCACTTACATGATAATATCTTTGTGTTGTGGCCATGTTAGGGCCAGAAATAAAGACACAAAGAGAGGAATTGAGTTAAAAAAATGGTTTTGGCGTCACCCCTCTAATGAGGTTATTGTGGACTCTTTACTAAATTTAGCAGGAAAGGTAGACCCCGGGGGAACGGTGATATAGACTGAACGCTGGTCAACCAACACACACTACCTGGTCATGTAACACACTTCTGTTGTATTTACTGTTCAATAGATTCCCAAGTAGGTATCTACGCGGACGACACTACAATTTACTGCTGCCTCAAAAACAAATCTAGTGTCGCTGACAAAACTAACCTGGCAGTTCGTCTCGAAAATTACCTCCAATCGGTTGTGAACTGGGGCAGGAATTGGCTGGTTAACTTTAATGCCTCAAAATCAAAACTGCTCTCTATTACTCACCAGAGAGAACCATCCCTGCCCTCCAGACGCTCAACTTCTCGAGAGCACCTCTCTGCGGCTGCTCGGTCTCACTGCTGACCTAAGATGGAACAAATACATCGAGTCAATTGCTTCGTCCACCGCAAGGAAAGTTGGCTCCCTCTGCCGCGCCAGGAAATTTGTCTCCCCTGAATCGATCCTTCAAATCTACAAATCAACCATTCGCCCTTGCATGGAGTATTGCTGCCATATATGGTCTATAGCCCCTTCTGTTTGCCTCTGGGTTCTTGATAAGATCCAGAGACGGATATGCAATGTAATTGGCCCTGATCTGGCATCTCAGCTGCAGTCGCTTTCTCACAGACATGCCGTCGCCTCCCCCCTGTCTTTTTTACAAATACTTTCATGGTAATTGCTCCAAATGAACTGCTTTCGCTGGTTCCTAGACTTCGCGAATTCAAGCATCCTACGAGGCTGGCATCCCACTCTCATCCTTTCACTGTTGAAACTGTTAAATGTAGCCGTCTCTTCTACTTCAATAGCTTCATATCTCGCACCTCTCGCCTGTGGAACTCCCTTCCCTTTCCTGTTTCCCTCGTAGCTATAGTCTTCAACTATTCAAACGTAATGTCAATCGACATCTCTCGTTGCTTTGAGCTATCCACTATCATTTTCCTCATCCTTTCCTGTATCCCTCCTATCTGCTCTCGCTCCAAATCCTCTTGCGTGCAGTGGTTTCCAAATACACTCTATGTTCAACCTCTTGTTTTGTTATTTCTTGATCACAGCATAAATATATTAACAGAAACAGTAATACAAATAGATGCAAACGAGGGTGTTACAGCAAGAATGTTCTGTCTGACTGACAGAGCTGACTGCTGGAAACTTTCCTCTCCAAAAGGCAGTACCTGCTCCTCTTTATATCTTGTAGTAACCATGCGTGCTTGGTTAAATTACCATAACATTTTGGGAAAGATAAGAATATTCTTCTCCGTCCCACCAACTATAGATAAAACAGGACGGACTGGGTTCTATAGCATTAGGTGGTAACCGGTCTAGGAGAAGGAAAACTCTGAATTCAATCCGGCCTGGAGAATACTCTTTGGAAAGGTATGAATCCTCTTTTTCTCGCGCCCCCAGCTATGGATAAACAGCAGAACAAACTGGGTTCTATAGACTTGGGTGGCAACCGGTCTAGGAAAAAGTAACTCTTAATTCAAAAATGTATGTAGCCCAGGCGTAGCACATACTATACAGCTAAAGAAAAGATCACTTGCATTAAGAACAACAATTAAGAAGACAGAAGATATTGAATGACATTGCTTTTATTATTTGATATTAAAAGTAGACACGAAATCAAGAAAACCGGGAGGCCCCCTGCATAGAGCGAATATTGGGACTTAAAGTTGTTGTAGAATAGTTTTCACAGTGGAGGCTTGTATTTCACTCAGTCGGTCCTAAATTGGGTTCGACGTACAAAACGTTAGGAACTTGCAATGATAGTTAATGACGCAGCAATCTAGTTGTAGTGGTTGATACTTTAATGTCCGACATCGACTGACTCACACAACTCACTGAGATCCACTGGCGACTGCTACTGCTACTTATTATTTGTGGGAGAGTCTATTTACAATAGAAATAGGTACGTTCCCGTATAACAAAAGTGAAACAGAAACTGACTGGTTACATTCAGTGCTTTAAAAACCAAAGAAGTCACATTCCATCAAAGCAAATCAGACCCTGAACTATCACCAGTAACGATGAATGGATTCTCCCTCAGGGAGGCCTCGTGCATAGAGCAAATATCGGGACTTAGATTGAAACATGTACCTACCATCCATTGCTAAAGATACCACTCAATGCTCTATCACTACTCCCATGGTAAGTGCTCAGACGAGCTACATTTCTTAGAACCACCATTTATAACCACCCTCACTGCCTCCGCATTCCTCCACTCGAGAAGATTCTTGCACTAAACCAATACTCTGTTGAACCGACTCACTACCATCTTAACTTGTTCAAGTCTAGAGCTAACCGTTATATTCCACAGATATCCACATAACTGTATTTCTTATTCTGTAAACCTCTATCTCGAGTGGCTCCCAGGCCTTGTACAGTGTAAAACTCACCGTAAAAAGCATATACACACATAATATATGATGTACTCTCTGACGTATAAGGTTCCGACGACCACGGACTAATTATCTCCATGCATATGACGGGCATGATTTTTGAGACCGGCTCCAGAATTGCACAAAAGACCACAAACAGTACAATAGAATGTATTGTATCAAAGTGCAGCAGGAACACTGTTAGTTGTTTTGTGTTGCTTCCGTGTTTCACGTAGTCGAATATTGCTTACTGCTTGATCATGCATTATTCCTAAATGGCAGCTAGAATGATACTCTGATCTTTTCATAGCTACCTCTTCAAAGTTCTTGAATGGAATGTTGACGCAAGAAATGTTGCTTTTCAGTTTATCTTTATATCTAAGCCAAGTTCTACAAACATTTCTATGACCACTATGGAGTCCACACACACACACACACACACACACACACACACACACATATATATATATATATATATATATATATATATAGATAGATAGATAGA